GGGGGGGGTGTGTTCTAAATTAGGGACTTATAACACATGATAACCATGCATTATATAACTTGGGGCCGGCTAACGACCGCTAAGCTGGGTCATTGGCTCAGAGTGATACCATATAGGTAGCATGCGATATATGTAGTTCGTTTTTTTATTAAATACTATGGTTCTTTAAGTTGATTTTTCTGTTACTTTGGTTTTGGACTCTTTCTTTGTCAAAACAAAGGATAACAAAAATAACATACCTAATATAATCTCACAAGTGGAATCTGGAGAAAATAAAGTTTACACATACCTTACTACTAACTTGTCAGAACAAACATAGAAAAGAAGAAAATAACATTTCCTCTTTTTACCCTTTCCTCGGCTATCAAAACCTTCCTCTTTTTTCCTTTCCCGGGCTACCAAAACCTTCAATGTAGGTGAGGGTTTGAATCCATGTGTGTGCTACTCCCCCATTTCTCATTCCCATTCCCCCATGTATAATTAAAATCTTTTATAAAAACATAAGTATACACACAAAAAAAACAAAAATGGAGTATATGAATAAAGCGGAAAATTGGAAATAACCCAAAAAAATATAGTAGGAGCAAACACGTTTACTTAGCAACCAATTTGCAGAACCATGGCTAACTTGCTATAAATTACGGTTAATTTATTAGCAAGTAAGATTTCTCCAGCAAGAAGGATTTTTGAAATAAAATATGTTAAGGTAACCAATAAAATCTGAAACACCAGTAGCATCCCATTGGACAGACTGATGAGTTGATTAAAATTAATGTATTCAAAACTAGTAAGAGCTTATTTTCGGAAAGGATATGAAGCATGTCACTAAGCAACACTAAAAAGAACAAATTGCTGTACTAATTTCTACTCCTTAAATTCAAAAGGGTGTTCAATTGAATGCTAAAAGATACATTATATGATCTACAAAGGTTACACTACCTATCGTGATACTCAAACCACTTCAGCTCTACCTGACTACTATTAGAGTATGGCATCCTCAAATTAAAAGTCACAAGTATTGGCATAACAACTCCTATGGAAGATCCCAAATGAGCAGACTATTTTGAGCAGTTGAGCGGCATGGGACCTTTTCCTGCTCATCCACCATTATCATGAGGTTTGCATTTCTTGACAACATTTCGGCAAGTCAAAACATGTTCTATATATAAGAGTCACTGACTATCAGGTTCACCCGGCATTTTACGATTCCAACCAACTGAACCGGCTTTACGTTCTCCTCGCTTTCTTTTGTTTTTGGGAAAACGGATATCCGAGGCTAAGCACGACTTAAATGTTGATTGATCTTGAGATGTCGATGCTTTAACTGCTGCATTAGATTCTGATGCAGGGGGAGGTGGATTCTCCTGAGATGTGGATGCTTTAACTGCCGCATTAGGATCTGATGCAGGGAGCGGTGGATTAGAGCTTTCTTCTTCCACATTATTTCTCACATCTTGATGTTTCTCCAAGGATTTGTCAGGATTCATCGTCAAAATGTGTCCTCCTACTTCGGATACTTCATTATGTATGAGAATGTTATCAACAATCTGTAGATTAGCAATACATAAAAACAATCAATGGATTGAAGTGCAATCGAAAACAACCAGCCTCGCAACATCTTTAATGAGTGAAGAGCACAAAGGGCATAAATGGGGGGAACTAGCTTATTTTAGAAACTATGGTCCTTTGGTTTATATAAAGTGGTGATTATGTGGGTAAAGAGGACTAATCTCCGGTTGGTTTATCTGAGAGCCTCCCACATCTCCACCCCCCCGACCAGCTCCTCCCTCACTCAAACACAGCCTGGTTTTACCACTTGTTGTTCCCTTAATCTTCGACTAATTCCATTTACAATAGGGGCTTGTTAATTACCAAAACATTCGACACATTGATACGGACTGCATATTGGAGATTACTCGACACATAAGGGCCAAATACTATTTTTGAAGAACATCTAATTGCATCTTCTAAGCCAAGCACCAGATGTGACTGCAGGAAACATAATCTATTTACTCATAGTATTGAAATGTAATCGCCACTTTAAACCAAGCACCAAGTATGAAATACAAAAGCTAGTCCCTATTTTTAGTCCTAGGATTAAGTGCTATAGGGCCCTCCAAACACCACCCAGTGATTAATTCATCAACCTAGCATAGCCAAATAACAACCACAACTCAACATTATTCACTCTCTTTTTCCACTTGGAAAGGATAGATGTCTTACTCTTTCGCTTGAATCTCCGACTTGTGCCTGCTGCTGCGTGACATCCACAGAGGATAAAAGTCCTACTGTACTTTCAATGATGTCAGGAATAGGCATAGCCTCTCCATAGCTTGACATTGTACTGTCAGGCATGACAAAATCTCCAAGATCATAATCTACCATGTGCTGAGATGTTGCATATAAAGCTCCAGCTGATATTGTGTCTCCATTGCATGCCGAGAATGTAGGGCTACGAATAGAGCTAGCCTGTCCATCAAATGACATCAGATTCTCAGAGGAAGAAAACTTTATTGCATTTTTCGTCATCACTGTATCAAGTTGGTCCTTCAACTTATGAACCCGACTATGTACAAGTTCAATTTTGCGAAGGATCTGCTCAAGAAAACTATTGCTGCTTTCCAGAATTGACAAATCATCATCATTACCAAACTCATCATGGCCATTGGATTTCTGTTCTGCCAGTGCTATGTCAGAAAGAAAAAAAAATCAACATAAGGGACATCCAGTGAAACTATATTACCAAAACAATTTGTTAACATATCTATGCCTTTAGTAAAGATGCCAGAAGGACAAACACTTTAAACTCAACATTAAGATTGACATACTTTTGAGCATAAACTGTAGTGAAGTTGTTCAAGTCCTTATTCGGAATATTTAAACTTGGGCAGACGTGAACTTGACATCCTCGCTGCTCATTTTCGAATTTCATAATTACCTATAATACTTTGTTTGATGAAAGAATAAATATAGCAGACAGAGCACAGGCTTATATTCTATATTTCGAAAGTTTATCATTCATTAACTAGTTTTATGCTGATAGACACAGTCGGAGCACAAGTTATATGCACTTCCAAAATTCTAGAGCTTTAAACATGTCAAACAAAGTTCATAACATCTGAGCTAGAACTATCTGGAATATCATGCGTCATTGCTCTCCGAAGTATGAAGATAAGAAGGTCCGTGCATACTGCACAGAGATTTAGTAACTAGTCATAAGTTAACCGTTAAGCGTTACATGGCTCAAGATAATCACCTTCAAGCTTGAATACATTACTGGCGCATTTCCGGTCTATGCCAATTTAGGGCCTATGGTTTTCAAAAGGGTGAATCTTCCTTGGTAAGAAAATGAAAAACGCAAAAGAGTTGCAAGTGAGCCCACAGTGCATCATGCATGACTACAATATGAGTTTCAATCAAAATGAGACACATCAGAGCGTCATTGCAGTTTCGAAATAACAGGTCCAACTCTTTTCTAGGGAACAACGACAACCAAAATTAATATAGGCACAAATTTGTTCTACAATTGCCTATGGGCAATGCACGTGTAGGTTATTCAACCAAGCATGTTACTCTATTTGGAGTGACATGTAAACTTGAGGAACATGCCAGAGGGTTTTGACAAAATTATAAAACAAATTTGCAACTTATGTTGCTTCAAAATGTGTGACCATAAAAGAATTGGTTATTCAAGAATTGAACGTTCCAGGAGAATGACGGAAACATCAAACATTAGTTAAGAGAAAAGAATTCTATAAAGGTATCAGAATTTCACTTTATCTGCCCCTAAAAAGATTAGTATTTCCTTACCAATCAACAAACTAAAAAAAAAAAGGAAAGAAAAAAAATATTTTATTTGGTTTTTTCTCATTGACAAGCGGACATTGTAAGCAGGTAGGCAACCTAGGTGGCTGAAATAACAAACCAAAGGCAGAAGAAATCCCAGCAATCCATACTCTCTTCTACAAAGGGAGAAGCAGAAGATAAATGATATGAACTCATTTACTGGTAAATAATTATGGGAAAGCGTGAACATTTATACATACCTGCATTACTAATATCATCTCCAGCTGGTGTACCATCCAAATCCAGCTTTTTATTTTCTGCAAGATATCACATGCCAAAATAGAACTTATCATGGTGGCAAGAGACATCGGTTGCCAAGCAAAAATAGAATGGAGAAGAAATCATACCAAAATAAGAGAAAAGGTTATGAGTGGACATTTGTGCTGCAATATCTGTTCCATCCTCAACTCTTTTCCTCTTTCTCCTCTTCATGGTTTTTTTCCTGTGCCTTGGATAAACAAATGGCAATGATTTCGAGCCTGACTCTTCCAAAGTAGCTTGATCTAATGCCCTATGTTTTTTCCCATCAAGCGCTGATATCTCTCTGTTGTACCTTGCTGCCTGCAACTGAAGCTCTTTCATCTTGAGTTCTGCCCATTTACACCGCCACATTATGGGATGTATAAAGTCTCTCCAGTGAGCAGTTAACTTTTTCTTCCTGAAATATGTAAGCAGTCAGTTGAACACAATCAAATAATTTACACTGTTCGACTTCAGTTAGCTCACGCATGCTGAAGTTACTTACCATATCGCCATCAACTAAATCAAGCAGAAATAAGCTTCTGAAAGGTATAATAAGGAAGTTCCCCAAAGGGAATTTAAAAGTAAACCAAAGCTAATTCCATTCCATGCGGATGCGTTATATCGTTTACAGCTTAAAGCAATTTCTCCACATAATACAAGAGTCTAAATGTTTAAAAGCTCAGATCTCAGGGGACTCTATACAAGGACCTGACAAGCCTAAAAGTACACAACAAGCTTTGAAACAACTGTCAAGCTAAAAGTGGATGCTGATTGAGTTAACGCTTGATAAGTTCCTCTAAGAAAGCACTGTGATTGACGTATTGAAAGAGGTTTAAAGATCATAAGTAGAGTTACTCGAGTAATTTTAACGCAGGACGTACATATTTTATGGGATTCTACCGCACATTATGGCACTTCAATCTAATCAAGAAGAAGAAGGTTACTTCTTCAGATTTAGTTTGTCATAGTTTACTGGACCTGACTCCAAGAAATACATGAGGCAACCTGCTTCATTTTTTGGACTTAGTGAAGCAGAGGATTTAAGATCAACCTGCAAGAGGAATTGGTCTAGTAATACGAAAACACCAACTTTAAAATTTTCTGCACAGGCCCAGGAAAGGGACAGTAAAGAGTTATGTGAAAATTATAGAATAATGTATAGGATAAGAGAAATAGCTGAAGAAGTTGGAACCTAGTTAGAGACAAAAAGAAAAATTCGGCAACCTTGTTATACCTAGCTGAAAGTCGTCAAAATATCTTATTCTCAAAATAAAAGGAAAAAAGATTAATGTAATGCTCATGACACTTGTTGAGCTCATTACATTGACAAATGTTCACGAGGAACTTCGACAGAAAGAGAAAAGAGCCATCGGGATCACAGTTATATAGCTGTTCTCATCTAATTACATTAGCACTTATAGAAGACAAACGGCACTTTAATTTCTATCTTGGATGATCTCATGATTAGATGTAATACTCCATAAGATAGCTAATTTTCGGAAAATGACAATGTTCGCTACTGCATACAAACATAGAACTTAAGAGTTAAGACAAAAACTATTTAGGGCTCTAGGCTAATGGCTGGACCTACATCGTACGAAGGAGAACAAGAATGAAGCATCATCCAGAAACACCTTGTAACATGTGTGATGGGGTCCCACTTTGGTAATGTTTCAAAAATTACCATCCGGGATGGTATTTTGGGAGAGTAGGCTCGTACTAGGCTAGATTGCATTCTTTGGTCATCACTGTACATATCTATTTTTAGAGTTGTTTTAAAGGATTAGGCAAGTAATAGTTAACAACTTCAGTTAATATCTCAGAAAAGGAAAAGATTCATGCTAATTGTTGCACCTCTTATTCAAATGGGTATCTAACAATTGAAAACTGGGAATTAGAAAAAGAAAAGAATACTGAAACTGTTAACAGGATCAGTCCAAGGAGGAACCAGTGACTTAGACAAAAAAACAATAAAACTAAAAAATCTTCCTTGCTCTATAAAAACATGCACCAAGCGAAAAATCCACACCTTATTGGAAACAAGCTGCCAAATCCGTCGAATGAAGATGCCAAGCCACTATCATCATAGAATCGTGACTCTACTTCGGCATCACTTGGCCCAGAACCATTATCATTTCCAGATGTAGTGTCAGCAAATGAGCTCGAGTATTCAGTTTCATCAGGATCCTCCTTCGCAGCTAATCTGATGTCGCTGCTTCTTGCAAATCCAGTTACATCGACAGCCACATCCGTGGCACTGTTTGAAGCTTTAGTATTTCGTGCATTCAAGGTACTTTCCATTTGAACAATGTTGTATCTATAGTTGAAACCTTTCTTCTCGGAATTATATGGTATAGTGTTCGTTTTACCAGTAGCAGCAATTTTAACAGAAAAAATTGGTTTCCTATCTAAAGCTGTCTGTCCTATATGTTGAGCAGGTGCCATGCTACATATGCAGCCAAAAGAAGTACATTCTTACAAAACCACCAAATAGGGGAAGCCTTGACGAGAATTTTAGCTCAATCTGTAACACAAAATGAAACTGAATTGCCTGAGAAATCCAATCTGAACAATACTTGATAAAATTAAGAAAAATCCGAGCAAATTCTTCTACTGCTAGCCCTTCATAATTGGAATGGGATGAAGTCAAAGCTGAAATATGGGAAGAAGTCTCTGAATTCACCAAACACATGCCATTTCCAACAAAAACCACTAAATGATTGCAATCTACAAATTTTAATCTTGCAAGAAGCGGAGTATGAAAACTCCTCTAATTGTCATGATGAAAATGAAAAACTCAAGCAAACAAGCTGGGAATCACACAACATTTTGTATAAACTGTGATTTCTAATATCTAATATTATAAAAAAAATTGGTCTTGTAAATTACACAAATAGGGAGCTTGAACACTCAAATCATAAGACCAGCATCTAACTATAAAAAACACCAAAAATAACGGAATCAATATCCAACAAAGAATTCTACCAATCCTTTTCAGTAGGATCAAAAACTCTTGTTTTCGAATTTGCAAACACAACCCATTTCATTTTTCTAATGGGAAGTTCTTGAAACCTCAAATTTAGCAGCTCCGGTAAAACAACCAAAAACAAGACTCTTAATTTGCACGAAAAGCCATGCAAATTGAAGAACAAGAAGCAGGGAAGTGACAAAACATTTTTGTATCCAACATATAAAGCTGAGCTGACAGAAACTAGAGAAAATTAAGCTATAAAGAGGATAAATCTATATGGGGTTTTAGTTGGAGAGCAGTAGTTTACCAGTGAATGAAGTGAGTGAAAACAGAGGCTGCTTCGGCGGCGATAACTTAAGAGAAGTGTGTTTTATGTTTCATAAAAAAGAAAAGAAGTGGACGTTATGTTTATAAACCTAAGATGTGAGTACAACTATTTTTTCATGTATCGGTTCCCGCTTATGGGCTGATATATCGAGCTAATACCTGAATTTTTCCAAATGCATCCTTCACATATGAGAAACTAGGGGTAATTGCCTTAGTTCTTTTTTCTAAATATATAGACGGCTCCTTAAAGTTAGCTCCAAATTTTATTTTGATACTTTAACTAACCATTGTACCTATTAGTCGTTCCAACCTAAAAATATATCTATTAAACATAAAACGTTGACATAGCACAAGAGTGATTGTCACTTATATGTTGGCGCGTGAAATATTCTAAAATTATTATTTTTTATTTTATTTGTTCAAAAAAAATTATTTTTCAAACAACTACTGTAGCACCACACTACATCCACTCTGACACCACATCTAGCACTATTTCTATGCAGTAGAGATGTCTGAAAATATAATAATAAAGGGAGAAGAGTAGGGAGGAAGAAATATGCTTGCTACGGGGGAGGACGTTCTAAAAATAAAACAAGAAACCGGCAACGAGGGAGAGAAAGATGCAGACTATAGGGATCTGATCACAAGAATTATTCTTGAAAATATAGACACTCATAATTTTTTATTCTTATTTGGTATACATACTGTGTAATCCTAAATTGCATATTTCCTAATTATTTGGTTCTGGTGGACTTGGAGGAGTGAACTTTTGAGATTGAGGAAGAAGCTTTACATTGGGCATTTTGGAATGGTTTGTGTTGGCATTAATGCCTGCGCTAAAAGTATAATTGATTGTTATTGCTGGCCTATTTCTTGCCTTAAATCGTTTGAGTATTTTTTACTCCTACAACTAAAAGATAATCCATAACGATGAAGGAGGGAGGAGATGTCGAGACAGATATCTTTTCTGAACAAAAGCAGAAGAAGTAAGAGGGAGGGCAAAGAACAAAAGCAGAAGAAGTAAGAGGGAGGGCAAAGAAGATGATTGGCAACACATGCCAGGTGCAAAGAAGGTGATCAACGAGGCGGAGAGGAGGGGAGAAGATGACTTGTGACGGCGAAGGGGTCTAGTGGCTAGGGATGGCAATTGGGGCAGGGCGGGGCAGGATAACCTTAAATGGGGCGGGGCAGGGAAAGAATTTAATGGGGCAGGGCAGGGCAAATTATTATTTTTGAAAATTTTTAATAGGACGGGGCAGGGCAAGGTACTGGACAATAGGGAAAGCAAGGATAGCAGTTTCATCTATTACTTTAATGGTAATACCAGTACCCTCTGCAATATACTTATGATAACCTTTAATGTGCTTAAGTATACTTATGGTAATACCATTATGATTGGACAAGCCGTTGAGTTATATGATGTCTGGTCCCATAATTTTAAAAAACAATAAAATTATCCATAATTAAAATAGATTAATTGTGGAAATTACAAGTAGAAGGATTAAATGAATTTTCTGAAACTTAAAGAAAGAGAATAAACATTTTATGGAACATTATTATTTGCATCTTCCATTAGAAAGAGAGAAAAATAACTTTTTTGAAACATGTATCTTTCCAAAACTCTTAAATGTGAAATGAACACAAATTACTTGACACAATACATCAATTATAGTAGTATGTTTTGCATTTTGAAAGTGTAAGCCAATTTGCATTTCTGAATATTATAATTTTTAATACATAATAACTTTTGAACATTTTATTAGTCCGCTTCAAATTATTTTGAATTTATTTTAATATTTGATATTTTTAAAAACGAACTAATAAGGAACACTTCTCCATAATAGGAAAAAAAGCATTAATGCATAAACATAATATTACAAATTAGAAAAAAAATACAAATTAGCCTAAACGGGCGGGGTGGGGCAGGGCAAAATTTGAAAAAATGCTAAATAGGGCAGGGCAGGGCTGGTCAAAGTATTAGCAGGTCAAGGCTTGCCCCGCCCCGCCCTAACCTGCCCTGCCCCATTTGACACCCCTACCAAATATTATCCAAACATAATGCAAGTATAACAAGGTAAATACTCAACTTTCTGCATAATCAGTTCCATAAAATTAACTGAAAAACCACAGTGAGTGATTACAGTGTGAAAAAGTAAAAACTCAAACTACTAAATATCCAAGGTGCTACACTTGGCCATTCCTATTTATTTTTCTCATTTTTTCCATTCTCCTACTCAGATTATTTACTACCATGCTAAGTTTTAAACTCTGGTTTCTACAATGCTGACTGAAAAATCATCTCCGCAAGTTCCTGCAAAATTTTGAATAAAATCAAAGTAAAATAACAGACAAACTCAAAGCTAGTAATTGCATATATTGTGACAAAAAAACTTGAAAGTTAGCCTAAAACAGTTTTTTTTAATTACTGCAAACTGTTGAGAAGCAGAAATGGTCAATCATTCGAAACATGGGGAATATTGACTCGTGAAAAACACTAAGTAGACGTTCGAACAATATTTGGTTGAAGTTTAAAAAGAAAAAAGTATGTAATGCTAAAAAATGTTAAAATTTCAAAAGCATATTTGAAAGTTGTGTTTGGATATTAATTTTAAGTTGAAAAAATGTTGACGTTCTGCGGGTGGAAAAGCATTATTTTACTTGAAATACACTCAAATAAGTTTTTCAAGATTTCACCAGTATTTCAAATACTGAATTTCAGTATTTGCAGATAATTATGGCGAAAACATCATCAACATTGTAAGCATTACCTTTTTCTTTAAAATGCCAATGTAAAATCAAAGATATAGCCATAAAGAATAACTTCCATATGCTAAAAATGGTCTTACCTGCTTTCCAGAAGGAACTTTAGGTTCTCCCCATTCTAACGCCTTCTTCTCGAGCAGTTCAAAGTCAGCCTTCCCAGCCTGTTAAATAACAGGTCGTTTCGCTCGCAAGCATTAGAGGAGAATGAAATACGGGAAACATACTGAAACGAAAGGGTGATAGTAAAAACATACCTCAATTGCAGCACCAAGCTCCGTGTCAAAACTCTGATATCGCTTTCTAACAAGCTCGCCCAAGGAGCCATCCTGTTGGCAAACAAAAAAAGAAAAATTAGGTATACTATCGCATATTTGCTTTGGTATATTAGTTGATTGACCTATTGGAAGTCGGAGGATTAGACGGTTAAAAAGATAAATGACCTCGGTATAGGTTCATTCTTTCGCTTGATTTTAAACAAGGACAAGTTTAAGGGAAGCAACATTTGACAAATGAGTGCAAAACTATCTCGCCAAAATTTAGTTATTAGTTGAGAAAGGAACATCACCTCAATTAGTTTGGCAGCATTTCTTAGGCCACGGGCCAAAGTGTCCATACCGGCAATGTGAGCAATAAATAGGTCTTCAACATCAGTGCTCTCCCTCCGCCTATTATGACGAACAAACAACATTATTTCCACGTCGAACATTCTTGCTGGAATACAAAAAGTACTAGTAAGTTGGGAACTAACAGTTTTGCATCAAAGTTGAATCCTCCTGGTGCCAATCCTCCCTGTTCAAACAAAAGATGAGCTGTTAAACAATAGGAATTGCACGAATTTTTTACTGATTTAAACTATTCAAATTTTCTAGTATTTGAACAGAATATGTATAAGAACTGACATTTTTAATAACGGTTTGCATCACCAATGTTGCTTCAGCGACATCCATCAGAAACTGATCAGTATCCCAACCTGCATCAGGGGGAAGCTTTCATAACTTGAAGTCTCGTGGTATTTACAGCAACCACAAGGGAATACATTAACAAGATTAACAAAAGTATTCTCATATATTCATGTAACCATACCGACTTGAGGATCGCCAGTATTTGCGTCAATGTTACCAAGCAAACCATTAATTCTTGCCGTTTCAAGCTCATGATGACAGCTGCAGAACACGAAGTGGTTGTAAGAAGGTGCAAAAGTCGGCATATACTTAAAAAGATCAAATCCAACCAAACCAGCAGAATGAGAAGAACGAAATCAAAACAGGAGCTTACGAAAGAGAAAAAGCACAAACCTGTGACCAGCCAAAGTAGCATGGTTGCACTCGATGTTTAATTTGAACTCTCCTGCAGAAAATGCAAAGGGAAATCATAAGACACCTCTCTTATTCGAAGTTCAAAAATGAAATAACAAAGCTCATATGCCACTTCTTTGGAGAATGCAGGGGAGATAGCGACTGAATTAGTTACCTATAAGTCCATATTTGTGTAAGAAATTAGCAGATGTTGCAGCATCCCAATCATACCTAGAGTAACATAATAAGTAATTTAGGCAAAAGGTTAGGAGATCGTATTCCAAGAAGATGCGTCACGTAAAGTAAACATACTGGTGTTTTGTTGGCTCCTGAGGCTTCGGTTCAATTAGTAATGTTCCTGGAATCAAATTGAAAAACAAAAGTGAGGGTAATTTACAAACTAATAAGAATGATGGGCTACAACCTACAAGATGTCAAATCAGTTAGTTTCATACTTTTATCTAAACTGCTGTTTTAAACTCCACCGTAGAAAAGTAAAATCAACAATATTAGAACAGGACAAGTTGAAATACCATTGAAGCCAATCTTCTTTTTGTAAGCAACAGCAGCTTCCATGAATCTTGCCTGTCGGGAGGTAGAAACCACATCATGTCAGTACAGTAAGCAATCTTTTACAAAACAAAGAAACTCAATAATAGTAGACACTGCTGAATTGGCCCAAACACCCCCAAAGCGCATAAAGAATGAAAGGATCTTAGCTGCTCGGACTCGGGGGCGGGTGTCCGATACGGGTGCAGATCTAGAGGTTGGATCCTTTAAGATGTCAATTTTAAGATTCTGGGTACAGATACAGATAGGGTGCGGGAATTCGGCTAAAGATAATTCAAATATCTAAAAATAGAGTTATAACAATATGTCTAAATTATGAGACATTATGTGGAAAACTTACAAGGTATTCCAAGAAGAAGAAAATATTGACATGAGGAACATCCCAGAAGGAGATCAAAGTTAAAGGAAAAAGAGTGACATAGAAATTTCTTTATACAAGATATTCCATTATCTTTAATTTTCAATCCTAACTTTCTTCTTATTTCAAAA